ATAGATGTCTGGGGGACATTGCCGCCAATGCCAAATCGGGTAAAAATTATTGTTCAGTTGTAGAATGCCTATAATTGTAGCCTGAGCATTCCCCTAGATTGAGTGTTAACGTCATTTAAATTAAAAACTAAAAACAAAACGATATGGAACAAGACAAAACTTAATATGTCAAGTTCTTGTTGTATTTTCAGAAAGGAAAAATTGCTGTCACTCCTGTAGTGTCATTTCTTGGGGAAATTGATGTGGGCAATATTAAATACAGCCATATTGAGGTAAAATATATATTATAATGATAACAATGTATGTATGCTTTGCTCTGCACTAATGTGTATTGAGCACTTTTCACCGCATTGACAGCTACAAAACCATTGGCTATTTATTATGTTATTGATTTTTACAGGTTTCAAAGGTTTTCCATTTGACACTTGAACACATTCTTGAGCACAGAAGATACACAAAATTCWCTARTGGAGTTACGATGCCTGTGTTTATAAATGGTCCACATCTCGTCTGGGGTATGACTGCAACAATGATGGATGTTTTCTTTGAAATAATCTTTCCTGGTTATTACAAAAAGGTTTTTAAAATTTCTGATAGGACAAAATTACCATGGCTAACWAAACAAAACCGAAAAATAATAAATAAAGTTCTTRACAGTGAAAATCATACAGTTGGAAACACTGTAAATGAATGATAATTTTCTTCAACAGTCCTTACTCTGGATTTTGTTCTACTTATATTATTAAGTAGTTTTCAATAAAGAAAAATTATACGCCATTCTTTGCTTTGAGTTGCATTTTTGCCCACTTTTGTGGGCTTTATTAGTCATGTCTGACATTTGACACGTTGAGCCCGCATTCTGTGCTTGTGGATCAGTTTACGACATGAAGGACATGTCACTCAAAATTATGAACATCAATCTGAAAATTGATATCTAATTACTTTTAAAAGGATATATGAGTCTATATTTGAGTCAAGGGACTTTGAAATGTGTATTAAACGCCTGTGCATTTCTTTAGTTCCAAGCTTCGGAATATCCAAAGCTCATTAAAAATTCAAAAATGAACATTTGGCCGTTGGACAAGAGATATTAGGCCCATTCTAGTTGGGTAGGGTATATTGAATTGTTCCAAATAAGGAAATGAGATGCAAATTAGATTTAAATATTGCACGCCGTAACGGTGTTACACGTTTCAAGTCCCTTATCTAGGTTTCTGGTAAAATGTTTTATTAGTTTCAAAAAAGAAAGAGCAAGAAATAATTAAAAAAATGTTTTTTAATTTTCTGGGTATTATATATTACATTTCACAATTCAAAATATTATGTGTGCTATTATTTTATTACAACCTCCTTGGTTGACATGAGACCATCTGCCAAGAAGACTACATTTATTTACAAATTAAAAGAAAAGAAAACTACGAAAAAAAGATAACTCAAACTGTGCAAATTTTGAAACTTATTATTATTATTATTATTGTATGAGGAAGTAGCTGATCCCATTAAAGAGTGCTCAATACACATAAAGTGTAGAGCTAGTTATATATATAATATCAAAGAGGCAAGATTTTGCTGTTACTCCGAGTTTCGTGCTACGCACTCATCAGACAGTATTTATTATTATTATTATTATTATATAGAATTATTATGAATTTTGAGTCTACTAACCAAAAATATTTAAAAAAAATTCTTCATTCCTAAGTTAATAAATTGTTCATGCTATTTCTAAAAAATAAACATCTGGGAATTGAGCAGGCTAGGTTTCAAAGAAGGTAAAAATCAAGTATTTTGGAGAAAGAAAAGCGAATAAAAATCTAAAACATTTAGGTTTAAAAAAATGTCTAGCATAATGGTATATCAACATTTCATCAAAACATTGTTAGCTGAAAAGATCTACTGAAAAACAATAAACATTGTTATGTTCTTTTTAGCAACAAGCTATAGAAATCAAAGGCATATGAATATAGGCCTAAATTAGATAGCACATCTTTTGATTATACCATTGCTCATGCAATTAATGCCCAAGTCATCTTTACAACATGGCTACAACTGTTATAGYGATTCAATGATTGTTTAATAGCCCTGCAACTGTTTGTAGCCATGTTGAAAAGGATGACTTAGGCAAGATGCATGAGATTGCTGTAGGCTAGCATTGTTCAGTGATCTAATTTGGCCTTAAAGCAAATGTTAATTTGTCATCAGTAAATTTTACCAAATTACTTAAATTTATCCTTCAAAACACCTTGAAAAGCCTTATATTATGAGATTGGGGCTAAAACAGGTGGATATTCACATGCAGTTAGATGGACTTTGCCTCGAAAGTGTAGATCYTTGTTGGAGTGATGTGGATGGAACTTTGTTGAAATAAATCTTGGTGTTGCAAAGTGCCGGTAGGAGTAAGATTGCCGTTGATGTGGGAAGTAACTCAACTTTTGTGTTGTGTTRTAAATGCTCATGTTTTCATTTTCTGCTTCTTTTTTCCATTGTGCTTTCTTCTTCTCWAGTAAGCCATAGTTTGTTGGTGGTCCTAGAAAATGGAATTCAATGTCAATRAGGAGTATAGAATASTGTCTCAGAAATCGCAAGGCTCGCCAAACAAGCTCAGTGCTTAAAAGAAAGGGGCTCAGATTTAAAATTGCCGTACCTTGCGAGCCGAAGTGCCATTTTATGTGAACACGAAAATGGAGGATTTGTAGGATTTCAAGCGCAAATCGTCTTCCGTCCTTTCAGTTTGGACAGAAATACCTTTAACTTAGTACCTCACAGGTACTATCAATCTATAATTTATTGTATGCTTGACACATTTAAACGTATGTAATCAATAATACGAGCGCGCAAGGTACGGCGGGTGGTTATGATTCTTTAAAAGAAAGGGGCTCAGATTTAAAATCGCTCAGAAGCTCGCAACTGCTGAAATATTGGACTTGTTCAGCCAAAGGCTTGGGCTCAGATTTTAAAATGAGGGGCTCACAGGCTTGGAGAGGCTCGGATTTTACCATTCGATACCCCTTCAATGTAATTGAGTTACAGTAGAGTACATAAAAAAATTACAGCCTCTGATCACAATGTGGTACTAGTGTTTGCAACCACGATATTATAAATATTTTACTGCACAATGTTGTCAAGYACTTACCTTGAATTGGAAAATCTGATTTTTCTGGTTGCCATACCAACCGCTGTCTTTCCCATGTCCTTAAGGCTGGGAAGTTAGATTCTGTTTCTTCGCGTCGGTTGAATTGCTGGTCATACCACGTTATTGTATTTCCTTTGTATGCATCACCATGATGGGAAAATATATGTTGTTGCCCAAGGCCCTGAAAACAAGAGCACATTTGTTATCAGAGAAGATTGGTGGGTGAGTTGGACAGGTCTTCACCTCTCTCTCTCTCCCAAATTTTTTTGGAGGGGTGAGAAATGGATGTACACACACTATGATTGGCTGTATTATTCTTAAAGGGACACTGTCAATGGATGACATGTGCARTAACAGTCTCACCTCTAACGGACTTTGAAAGTATWACCTTCGAGGTAAATCATTTTGTGGTGCTTTTGACACACTTTGGAATATTCTAGATCTGTTTACRTTTACGAKCTGATTTATGTTGCGCCAACTTGGAGTCATAAACTTGAAAACGCTAGCCTAGTGTTTTCAAGTTTACTCGTGCATGTCATCCATTGACAGTGTCCCTTTAAAAGAACAATGACATTTCTTGTCTTTTGTTTCAAACAAGCCTATTGGATTACATCTTCTGAGAGGGTGATATTGAGAGCCTGCCATTTCTGTTTATGTCATATTGTGACCCTACAGCCTTCACAGCTATTGCTTGTCTTTTGTGAGACAGACCAGGCCAACACACAACTATAGCTACATATTTTAGAATGATATTAGATACATACTTCAGTGTGTAGCATTCCTTTTCTGCGTGTCTTGACATCTGGTAATGGATTTCCAAAATTCTTGTAGTCGGTTCTATTTGTGCTGTTGTATTGAGATTGACTTCTTTCAAACTGAAAGCATAATACAATTATTTAGTAAAAGGATTGGGATTTTGACATCCAGAATTGCTTTGACATCTGAAGCAGTCTCCTGGGTAGATAGAGTGAAGTACCTGGGTACATTACTGTCCTTATTGAAATTGGAAAAGAGTTAAAAAAAAGAAACAATCCAGAAAGTTTATTCCGGATCAGTTATGTCTTATTACAAACTTTTTCTTCCTCTCTAGTGATACAATTTAGCGCCTGTGAATGCGTTTCATTGAAAGCCACTTGATATCAATTTTCGAAGTGGAATCACATTAACATGTAAATTAACCGGATTGTCACTCTTCAGCTGCCAAGCTTTTATGGCTGATTTGCTAAAGCACGATATTCTAGACTTGTCAGCTCATATTTAGGTTATAAAAGCTTATACATTAAAAGTTTTTAGAGGAATTTCAGTTGTATCGAGTAAGTTTACAACATAAACTAGTAAGCATAAGTTTAGTACCGGCTCTTCTTGACTGTCACAATTCGCCCAACAAAGAAAAAGTTTCATCAATCCAGAGTCCCGATTCTTTCTATAGTCACCCATAGCTTTTATGCAACAACACGAATTTTGAAAAAAATAGCAGCTCGCGCTTGGAATTCAAAAGCGTCCCCGCAAGCACGCGCTAGGGTACGCGCTGGAGCCTACCTTCCGCCTTTCTTCGCTCCAATTTCCAATTAAAACATCAGGTCTAAATCGYTGTTCAATTTTCCAGCCWGGCAAACCCCATTTCAAATCATCGTAATTGTCAACGCTGATCATTTTCTTGTGTTTTAGATGGAGTTTTGAACACTTTTGCTGGTTTCAGGGTAAACAGAATGTTTTGTCCCATGTGATGATATGCTGGTATCCATGTTCGGGTTGCTATGGGGTTTAGTCCCTCTCATACTCTACACACGCGAAGGACTGGGTTTTCCGCTGATCTAATGATTGCATGCTCAAATATGGCGGACGAGTTGTAACAAAGTTGTCGTAAATATTGGTGTTCAAGTATATTTATTTATTATGAAAATATGCTGCTCAGGGATATAGTAAATGGAAAAGAACCATCGTCATGTATCATTCTTCAAGGTWGGTTGGTTYTGAAACACTACATTTCTTTCTTTTGCCGAAATCTTCAGCTGTTTTGTGTTTTGTTTTGCAAAAGATTCTTTGGAAGCAAGTGCAAGACCTTTAATGTTGTCTTTTATGAAATCACTACTTGACAGGTTTGTTCCTTTGTTTAAATTTGATCTACCTATCTGTCTAACTGTTGCCCTCAAATTTTTTTGACTCGCACATTTGTTGTTTTGCATTTTAGGGTGGATTTCGTGTGCCTTGTTTGCTTTGAGCTTCCACCATGCAGGATTTTGAATGTCTTCAAAACTGAAAACAAATCGAAGTATGTATTTACTGAAAGCTTTCATTTTATCAGCCAGTTGCGCCTTGATAATATTCCTTTAAATTTGAACCTGTATTCTATAAAATAGTCTACCTTTTATTTCAATAAATCTAGCTTCCAAGAGAACAAAAACGTTTGTTTGGTCCCCAAATGAAGCTGCTTTGACATCACATGTAAGGAGTCCATTTTTTAACTTCTCTTGATATTAGGTTGTTACMAATAGATGGATTTTCAAATTATCTACAGTGGGATGGCAGTGATAACCAATGTGACAATCCTCAGTTATTCTTTGATTCCAATATAACTGATGTGGTAAAAAAAGCTGTAAACAGAAGGTSCTCAATGATAAAATCTGGTAAGAATTGAGAACAATGACATATGATTTATAGTTATAACATTCTTCTGTGGTATCTTAATTSTTATACAATTTCCAAAACAACGCAATACAATATTTTTCCACTCATATAATAGCAATAAAAAAGACTTGTACAGCTACCATTCCAGACAAAACAACTACATGTGTATGATTAGAAACAGACTGTCATCAATCAATATTAAAGTGCTTTGGTGGCAACCACCARTTTACTTGAAAATTTTGATTGAAGGAATGATACATTGTGAATTTTTTCTAGTCACTCAGCAGTGCAAATCATAGTAAAGGTTTTAATAGGTTATAAGATAAGCCTTTTTTTCTTCTTTTTTTACAGAAAGCCCAGTAAAGGTTGCCATAGTAATAGACAGTATYAGTAAACTTATCAATAAGTCAGTATCGCAGACCTGTCAAATGCTGCATTGCTTATCACAAGGTGACAGAGATAATGGTGGTGAGTCTATAATCAAAACAACAAGTTTATAATCATACTTTATAAAACTTATTAATAATGAATAAGATATTGCTCCAATAAGGGCTGACCATTTAATCAGGTGATTGAACTTGTAAACCTGATACAACCACTACAACACGGTCGTCACCATTGAGACAACCCAACACTAGCAAAGGTCTCAGTTTTAGTGTCGCATCATAGACCTTCACTAGGTTTTGAAGCAATCAACGACGGATAACAGAGCTCGCTTATGCAACAGATGGCTTGCTTTCCATGTGGGATGGATAATTATTCAAAATGTTCTGTGTTGCAGTAAATTACGCATGCTTAATAGGGACTAAACTCAGCAGTTACCTTATTTGTCATTTTTCGTCATTTATCTCACTGTAATTCATGTTAATTTGTGTTGGAGTTTTATAAGTCGTTTACAACATTCGCGTCCATGTTGTATGGGAATTACAATCTCGAGCCTGCGGCTCGAGATTGTAATTCCCATACAACACGGCCGCTCATGTTGTAAACTATACGTAGATTAGCGGGTGTATGTTTATATCTGAATTACACCATGGCAAATATTCAACATGTACATACCTCTATTTCATAGATTTATTATATTCACTGTTCATTGATGTTCTTGATTTAAGGGTACATTGTTGACCAAGTAATATCAATTGTACATTCTGACCTTCATGACAGCCAATCAYTGGAAACACTCTGTTCAATAGCATCATCTGTGCTGCATATTCTACCATCTATGGTAACTCCCCATCAGTCAGGTTAGACACACATACACATAGCTCAACTCTCAATATTTTGGTTGACTAACAAAAGACTCAAAGACAAGGCTCAACGAAAAATAATGTCAATTTTTACAGATCCAGAATATGAAGATAAATCGGACGAGATGGAAAATTATTGTAAAACATTGCATATCAGGAAAACTGGAAAAGTTTTAAAAAAGGTGAGTGATACGAGTTATCTATTGCTTTGTCGTTGTTGTAAGGGTTGGTCCTGACTAGAATGAATTGTGTTGCCTTAGAAACAAAAGTACACAATAAGTAGTCATCAGTTTGAACTTACCGAGTTTACAGAAGAAGACTGGATTCCAAAGGCAAAAGTTCAACCAGAAGCAGAAAAGCAAACTTCAAAAACTGTAAGAAAAATTCACACCTCAGACAACCAACATTGTTACTGTAAATACTCCTCCTTTGCCCTTAATGGTGTTCCTGGGGGAGGGCACAATTGCCTAACATTCTCCTACTCATCCCCCCCCATGACTTTTTTGGACTGATTCCGCAAGTTGTTGTTTAGAGATTTATTCTGTACAAGGGAAGGGAGATTTCAGGGGGAGGGTGCAGACTTTTTTTTCATTCTTATCATGTCTTGCACCTCCTATTTACCTATTTATTTATTATTTTATTTATTATTTTATATATTAATTGTCTATTAACTAATTATTCATTCATTCATTCATTTCTATGTATTTGTCTTTTTTCCTCTCTCTGATAGGTTGATCCACTCTCAGATCTCACGTTCAACTTAAAATTAACAAAACGAGAGGAACAAGACAGAGCTAATACACATTTACCCTACATGCATCATGCTCCCCCAGCTCAGGTCAAAATCCACCAAAATCAAGTGAAGGAGAGCCAAATCTTTTATCAGCCAGACGAAGCAGATGATTTTGATGAAGATGATCCTGATGATGACCTTGATATATAAGAATATTATTAGAGTATTTATATGGTTTCTGATGGAATAAAAAGTCTCTGAGTTGTGTCATTTGTTTAAATTGCTAATTGAAATAAAAATTTAAGTATGGATGCAGTGTGGAAATCTAGTTCAAGTTAGTTTACTAGATAATTAGTTAGGTTGATTCACACTGTATGTGCTTTAGAAGTATTATCTATAACAGTAACATTACAGTGTTTAGCTATTGTCACGAAATCTATGTCACGCGCAACCAGTGACGTCAGAGAGGATTTCGTATGAACGGCACATCACAACATGGACACGGAACCTTACCTTCTATGATTCCAAATAAAAATAAAGATTTAACAATACATCACTGCTACGGCACAGCACGGTCGTGGAACCACGCTTTCTATGAATGCAAATAAAAATAAAGACTTAACAATACATCACTCCTATGGCACAGAACGTTCACAGCGTGAAAGTACCATGCTTTTTGTACAGTCATGCAAAATCCGCTCTAATGTTAATTGAGTCCTTCTGATCAATAAATCAAACCAGGTCAACTAGTCTTTCGACGACAGCTATTAACTTACTTGCTTGAAGTGAAAGAAGACACTTGCAAATAGCACAAGGATTATATAATATTATATTTAATATATTTTTATATTATATATTAAAGTGGTCAAATACAATGTAGTCACACCATGAAAAACTTTAATATCATACAAGATTTTGAAACAAAGGCAAAATTTGCACAAATCCACATTCTTCAAGTCACCATTTTGCTATTCTGAAAATATGACCTTTTATCTTCTTAAAAGCAAAATCCARCGTCTTCTCAACCACAACTGAATTTTTTGTCCATGATAATAAATTATAAAAATAATAATAATTGTAAGTAAAGACATCCGTGACCAAAGAACACAGGACCACAATGATTGGTGTTCAAGAGTGGCAACTGAATGCATGTGGTGAATTTGTTGAGGAGTTAGTGAATCTCCAAGCCCAATCACATTCTTAAAAACACACATTTCTGTGATCATTAGAATCCAAGGCATTAAACTCTGTTGTACCAAGCCTTGGATCTTCACTGGTTTGATTTTCAGTTCATTCATAATCAATCCAACATAGGCATCATCTGGTATTATCCTCTGTATTTTTCTTGATAGATAGACAATCTTAGGAAAAAGAGAACTAGAAATAACTTGCATTGAACCCTTGCAGAACACTGGGTAATAGTTAAAAGGGATCTGATCTTCACYGACGTAATGCCGGTGGGTTTTAGACCTTACTACCGTACCCGTATATAGTACACCTGCATATAAATGCTGTTGTTGAGAGCCAACGGTATCAATCCATTGATATAGACGTGGGATATTAACGTATACATCATCATCTGTCTTCAAAACATATTGGAAATGGTACTTCGGCTGGACGTTTGAAGCCCAGTTGAAAGCTGCTAATAATTTATCAAGAATCCTAGAATATTGGTCTTTATAATCGCAAATAAAAAGATCACCATATATTCTACTTTCTTTGAACAGGCTTTTGTCTGTGCTGTTGTCTTTTGTTTTTCCAGTCATAAATATAACATGCCAACTTCTTTCGCTGTTGGGATCTGGTTTTGAACCCCAAGTACTACGAATTGCTTTTCTTCGCTCTACGTTAACTCCTCCAGGCGCTGAAGAGATGATYACAAGAAGATACACAGAGTTATTAGGATCTTGTGGTCGCACCACAGGTGACATGATTGGGTAATCTGCTTTTTCAATCACAAGGCTTGTGAAATCAGTTTCACTTGAAGTTAGAACCAGACACCCAATGATCAAAAGCGCTATAAAAATTGTTAAAGAAACTAGGTGTTTCTTTACGAAGCGAACCATCATAAAAAGGTGGCTCCGTCACGGATRTTGATTAAAATAGAGCAATWCTASTATCCCTCATGTTTCCTCACGCGTGTCTGTATATTTTGAAATAYGAGCTTTGTAGCCTGGCCAAAATGACAAAGGAAGCCCATCGGAACGGTGTAGAGCCGATGGGATTCCTTTGTCATATTTTTGCTAGTCTAGGYACTTTCCAACTCTYCTGACTTTTTGTGAGAACTTTGAAACTGAGGAAAATGAGAGTTGAATAAATTAAGCTAGCTTTGAAATCAGCAAACATAAATAAAAATAATAAGTAAATATAGAAAATGAAAAAATGAATGGGAGGAAAGAAAAAAATAGTCAAAAAAGTTAAGTCAATTTAAAATCATTTTACATTGAATTTATTTTATGAGTGCTTGCATGCATCAAATGCATGCATCAAATAAATGCATTCACCAGTCTACCAGCCCTCACAGCATCACAGTGTTAGCATCACAGATTAAAGCCGATTTATTGTACATAGATTAATACAATAATTTTATTATTTATATACAAATTTATTTACAATCAATTTCCCATAAAGATATCAACTTTAACATGATTTWTACAACAGTATCAGTGTCATAACAGATAAACTACAAGCCTCAATTATGATGTTCTTGAAAATTGGGTAGAGGTGCTTATGACAGATGGTTATAAAAATGGCCCTAAAACATACAACTCTATATTCCTGTTTCATTTATTAATTACATAAATAAAGTGCATGCATGAATACATATAGTACACATAAAACCTGTTAYTGTTAAAAAAAAACAATTTGTTTARAATAGTTTTTCATTTATTGTTTTATTGTCGTACTTTTTTGCTTTTTCCAAATAAAAGGTTTATATGTCAACCAGAGACCCTTGAAAATATCTGTCAAGCACTCCTACCAAATTTTGAGGGAGTCTTTTCATAGTCTCCTTCGCATCCGTTTCTGGTGTCAAAACGCGAAGACAGTGTAATTCAATGTTTTGATACCGGAAATGAATGCGAAGGAGTCTAGTCTTTCCCTTGGCGTGATACAATCAAGACTTAGGCTTCTTATAATAAATTAAAAGTATATTACTATGAACGTCACTGACATGCAATAAAATACAGGAAATTATAGACTTCCTTATAGTCCAACTATTTAACCAAACTGGAAGAAAAATTAAACATTGTTAAGAAAACAAACAAATATTTCAACAGGCAAATAAATTTATAACTTCCTTTACAAGGAAAACTGTCATCAATTTTTGATTACCATGTGCTAGCCCTTTTCTGAAATACAAAATTATGGTGCATTGTGGCCAAGGTTCAGCACAAACAATGCCGTATTTGGCAGCATGAACAAAAAATGTTTCTACGAACCTAGACCACAATGCAATGTAAAGTGCTATCTCAGAAAGGGCCTATGGGTACCATAGGTTAGAATACCATAGTCTTCTTCACGGTTCCCTGCGCCATCTTGAAAGGCAGCTGGGCCTTTGCATCGAAGCAAGACAACCGTTGAGCATGCAATGATAGAAAAAWTTTTTCACACAGTCCTACAGACAATTATTCACAGGTATCTGTCATTGCTACTCAACAGTTGTCTCACTTGGATGTTAAGATATGGCTACCTTTCAAGATGGAGAGGATGTTCCTTAAGGCCAAGATACCCAGGGTAAGTGAATTTTAGAAAACTGYCATACATCCAGAACTAGAAAAGTGTTTAGGGTTGTGGCACTAAATCAGTGAACCAAATATTATTATTTTAAATACTTACTACATAGTGTYGAATAGACACAAGAAACTAAAGGAATTAATAAAATTACTTTTGTATAATAATTTAGGTTTCAATGATTAAGTGCGTTTGCTCTATATGTGTGAAAACTCAACTACCAAAGGAACAACTATTAACAACTATCAATATTTTATACAATGTCAGAAATCTGCAAWGTTCGTAAACTTCTTTCCTCAACAGGTCTTTCTTGAGGAGCTGGGGTKGGACATGAAGCTATTGACCAGTCCTGATTTAAAGCACACCACTTTTTCCAATAAAATAAACACTTCGTCCACCAGAAGTATAGAAACGCTGCATCTAACACAACACCAAAACCGTTTACTACATAAAAGATAACACATGCAGTGGTCGTACACAGTTCTGAAGCATTCACTGATATAGAGAAGACGTTGAGAAACAGTCCAATCAAAAACACAAGGAACCATATTACTGGAATAGGCTTGTCTTCAGGCTTTCTCCACTACAACAACAACAATAGGTCCATTGGTTAATTATTAGGGAACTCATAGGTAAGGGCCGGTTCACACTTATGACATAATCAGAAACCRATGCAGAAGGTTGTTCACACTTGACAGAAGCATGTTCTTCTGCTTATGATGTCCCGGTTCATACTCATAATCTTTCAACATAAGCAGAAACAGAAGCAGAAGTAAATGAAAAAGTTTTCATTTTCATGTGCTTCTGTCTATGCTTCTGTTTTCCCCGGTTCACACATACAAAATACACTTCTTATGCTTCTGATTATGTCACAGTGTGATTCAACCAGCCCTAAGGTTCTTCTAGACTAATGTCATGTGTGTTTTGGCACAGTGAATCATGGTATAGAATATGAAGGTATCAAGATGGCATCAGTGCTACTATATAAAGAAACTAAAAATATATGGAGCAAGAAGTTTCTTTGCCAAAGTAAATTTATAGGTTGCTGAGACAGCTTTGGAAGGACATCACCGCTACGGCACTGTACGGTCACAGCGCAAAAGGACCTTGTTTTTTTTGCACAGTCATACGAAATCTGCTCTATTGCATCAAGTAAGCTATTAAAAAATATACTTTGATCTACATTGTGTATTCCCCAGTAAAAAGTTGAAAACTTTACGTAGCAGGAGGCTACTTTGACAATGCAAAGCATAGCTTAGTGACATTCTTGTACCCAGATCCTTCTCAGTTTCCTGACAGAAAATTGAAGGCTCTGGTTGGAGATAAATGATTTTTGATGGTACATGTACCATCAAACTGACAGTATGCATACATCATACAAACAGTCTCCTGGTTTTGTTTCCAACCAGATCGCCTAAGAAGGATCTGAATTACACAAATGACCTCAGTGGGTGATTTGGTTGGTTCTCTTGACCCAGAGTGTTCTTTGATACTTACCTCTGCTAAAGGCTTSCCTTTCTTCTTAATGGCCACTTTACAGCGGCACAGTTCACATGTATTTTTTACTGCTTTCTTGAACCAAGTTAACAGGCATGCTGCATGGACATACTTTGCTGACCCTGAACACTGACAAGGGGTGACTAAGGGCTCATCTCCGGCAGAATGACAGATTCTGCAAATGATTTGTGYCTCTGACATGTCCAGGTTTTCTCTGCCAACCATTTCTGTCTGCATGATATCTTCAAGATGAAACTGCTGTAAGTTTTTCATCATGTTGAAGACTCGTTGCTGTCTTTTCTGTTTGATGTCCATTGGACTTTGATCAGTAGTTTCTTCAGGAGGAAGCATCTCTTGATTCTGAAATAAACTTACTGTTAACAGACTTTCCTGTGGCTGGGATGCCCGTGCACAGAAGGTGCACTCTCCAGTTTACATTCTCTAATTATGTTTTCAAGGTATTTTATTTGCCAGTTTGAGTTGTTTCATGCAAAAAATTTACAGTTGTTGTACTTGACAAGAGTTTGCCTTTTTGAAATTTCACAAGACAGCAGTCAAAAGACATTTGTCTAAAAGTATATTTTCCTCGTTTCAATTAAACATTAAAAAAAACCATGTAGACTGCAACAGATTCAAGGAGTATTCCAGGAGGTTTTTTGGAGTTTTTTCTATTTTCAAGGGGTTTTCAAGTGCACTTGAAACAAGGGATTTTCAAGGACTTCAATAAGTGGCATGAGCCCTGCTCTCTAGTGATTTCCATGATACTAGTTTTCTGTCTTATATTTTGTTGGCAAACTTACCTCAGTTTGCTGAGGAATCTCTCCATCAGGGAACTGATCGAATGGTGAGATAACATGGACAACCCTGCTTGTTCTTCCTGATTCCTGCTCTTCTATGTCATCTTCTTTGTTACTGCTATTTGTCATCTTGTATGTCTGTTTCTTGATTCTAACTGGTGCAAAAACAAATTTATGGTTTCAGTAAACTACCAAAGTGTAATATTAACAGGCAAAGGAATGATGTACAGAAAGCCTCCTTTCCAGCTTGCTCAATATGTACATGTGCAGTGTAAAGCTGTGTTTATATAAAAACCTAGATGTTCTGTAACCACATTTATTATTTGTTTGTGCACTTGGGCCAGTGTTTACGTTTCAAAATCCACACTGCAAAAAGTGTTGACCATAAAACATGATCATTTGAACATCATTTCAAATGATGTTCAAATGATTTTTGAAATGATATATTTTTTCTGGGCCAACGCTGACATAATACCATGCCACAAGTAAACCATAAACGAGATGATCGTTTTTATGTCAAACGCGCACAATAATATGTGGTCAACATGTGGTATTTGTATCAGTCATTTCAAAATGCAGCTTCAGTCGCTACTTTTGCACTGATTTTTTTTTGTTATTAGCATAAATACAACAAAAGCATCTACTATATAAACCGAGTAATGGTGGAGCATATGGAATAACAATTGTCCCAAATTGAATGGCTACTCATTTGTGCAAAAAGATCAATTCAAATGGCTACTAACATATGGTAAATGTGACATGCTAATCAGTCATGACGAGAGCATTGTCATTTAAATTGTTTGATGATTTTTTGGGAGGGTTTTTCCCTCTTTTGTCTGACTTTTCTYTGTACTGAAGAGGATTTTCATCATTCAACAGTGAATTATCAAATGTTTTTGATAGTACCCTTGTGCAATCAATTATAAGTGAAAAACGATGAATTAATACAATTTAATATCAAAGATACCTTTAAATAATCATTAAAATTGGTATAAATTTACTCATTCAAATTTCATAGTGGCTTAAACAATATCCCAATGTTAGTACAAAAATGCACAAAAATGTACAAAAAGATATTTTTCACTGTCAGTCTCGCATCTTTTTTTAGATCGAAATTATTATTCATATTAGTTTCCTATTTCGCTTTTTAATGAAGATCTATAACAACGGAAGTGCAAAAATATTAAGCAATAGAGTCATTGTTATTTTTTAACATAAGACTCATACGAAAAAAGGAAATTAACGCAAGGTAATTTTTGCACAGCTGTCTTCATAATCAACGTAGAACTGCTGCACGAAAATAAAACTTACTTTATATTTATCGTGAATTACAACTGATATCAAAAAGAATCATTAAATTCGCTATGCGATTAGGATTTTATGTCGAGGGAAAGAACTGCGCCATTAATTGCCAACTATCGATGATAATGCACAAGGCGAATGGTTATAAAAACCCCATTTTGGTATCATTCAATAATTTGTAGTCAACGACCAGGCAAAATTATGGCTTTAAATATAAGCCTTTTAAACCTTTCTACGGTCTGATCGCATTTTTAAACGATTGATGAATGAAATCATTCTTAAATTGAACATCACTGTCGAAATTATTTGAAAATACGCTACAAATCTTAAGCTTTTCGAGATCTGTGTTTACCACCAAAAGCGACAAARGATATCGACAGATGAGTCCCCCGCTGACGAAATTCGTCAAAAAAATAAAAATTCGCCAAGATACGTGTACTCACCTTAACATTTTGTAATGGTTATGAGTATCCGATGTTTGGCAGACATTCTAATGGCTTATATAAACAAAGAAAAGTAGGTTTTCAAGCGACGGAATAAAACTACTCCATGACAAAACACGACCTTTTCTAGTGAGTCGTGGCTTTTACCCATCATTGGCAACTCGCCCCAAGCTCTAGCGCCTTCACARCCTGGAACGCCTGGCGGGATTTACATGTAAGCTGAGAGAACGARACTTCTGCCATTAGTTCCTTGCTGGTTCGCCTGTTTTTTTCTTTAATATGGCCTCGATAAATGATCCAGATCGCGAAGATTATCAGGTTTTGGTGAGTGGTAGCTTAGACATAATTAATTCCAACGGATTTTGAAATCTTGACAGATAAGGAAGGCCAAAGGAACAAGTCCAGACTCATTGATTTGATGCTAGGACTTTGAAAAGTTTTGTACATATTTTGCACTATATTTTTCCGTCTTCAGGAACTAAGAAAGCGCCCTAAAGGAGGAAATTCACACAAAGATAAGCTCCCAAGTAAGGATTACGAGGTAATACATTTTTTTTGTGACTGAAGAAGTGAACATTATTCTTATATATAAATATATGGAATTTAGCAGCACACCAGATGTTACAGAGCACATTTGCACCATCAAATTACTATTATTTTAATTTGCCAACCGTGATTATTGCAAATCTGCTAGTACTTCTTAGTTCTTCTAAGTTGTTATTCAAACAGCCAATCACATTGCTGTCTGGCATTTATGAWATGACARATATAATATGTGACATATTGCAATTCTTGGGTGTCGATGTTACGTCAGCATATATTCAATGGAAATGATAAAGCTTTCCTCATTAGCTTCTCTTGTTTGTTCATCAATATGGTGGTGRTTACCTTTTTGAATGGTGGGAAAGAATTCATTAAAAAAACAATGAAGTTCAAGCTGTATACATGTTGTCTCACCTAAGCCCCCTTTTTTCAACAAAAATACTAAAACTTGTTTTGTTAATAAAAGAGAATAAGATGATCTTTTGAATATACTAATTAACTTTTAAACATCTTTCTACTTTATTATTTTTCAGAGTCTAGATTATGACATTTGCTACAACCATCCATTTTCACAGATGATGAAATCTAAAGCAACAATGGTATTGTTTGTTATAAATGAAACATTCATAAATTTTTCAGGGAAGAGAAGGGAAGGGAAAAGTAGGTGAGAGAAGAGGGCAGTGGAAGGAACAAGACTTAGATGGAAGGTGAGGGCTACCCAATGGTACTCATGAATAACTTCTCTTTTCATTTGCAGCCTTTGGTCAGACAAAACCTCGTTAGGTGGTTGGTAACATTTGTCATTGGAGTTTTAACTGGACTGGTAAGCAAAAATATTATGGGCTTCCTGTGTTCAGTCAGTGGTGTAGCAAGGCCTAACACTTTTATTTAAATTTTTCACTATTCCAGACAAGTCTCTTCCATATTTTCCACAGAGAACCCATATAAAAAAAATAGAGGTGTTAACCTACATAATATGTGCGGGATCCCTGTGTATTTATCCATAAAATCAACTTTATGAGATGATAAATATATTGTTTCTTTTTATTCAGGTGGCAGTGTTTATAGATTATTTTGTAAGATTATTATCTGATTGGAAGACTGGTGTTGTAGAAGTGTGTATCCTTTGCATTCCATTCAAAAATAATCCCAGTTTTTTGTTACTGGTTTGCTGGAGTCTGCAATTTTATCTCTGACAATTGGATAAATTTAAGTGTAGGGAAGTTAGACTCCTTTGCACTCCTAGGGAAACAAATTGTTTCTCTTCTTGTGTTATTATTTCCTGACCAAGAATAACTGGTCCCAAGAGATTAGGAACAACAACTAGGAACTTCTCCCGACTTTCCATTCTTTTTTTCCTAACCCCTTTCCACTCTGGCTGATTTTCTGCCTTAACACAGGAATCCCATGGAATAGTTTCCTGTGAAGGAGGCTATAGAGAAGTGAACTTACAGAACTTAGTAGGTCCATTTCAAATAATGATGTGGTATCATTGGGCTAAACCAAAAAAATAATTTTAATTTGGCACTTGAGCAGCTTGTGCAGCACAATCAATGAATCAGTTATCATAGGTTTGGTGCTACAGTAACACAGCAGTAGCGTGGCACTGCAAAAACCATGATGGTGATTCAAATGCGAGCTGTTGGTCCTTGACCTTCATTAGCTTTGAAGTATTGTACTCCAGCTGGGTGCCTTGTGGTGACTCTTCTTATAATGATGCTATTCAATGGTGGATTTGCATTGATTGCCTCAATTCTGACTGTAATTGAGGTGAGTTTGTTCCTACCAATATTGTATCTTTCTTAAATTTTATTACTTCTTTTTTTATATTTCACTTGATATTCATTCATTTTTCATTCCATCCATCCATCCACCCATCCAACTCTCCCTATACCCATTTGTTCATTTTACAATAATCCATTTATCAATCTGGATCCAACATTTTTTGGTATCCAATTTATTTTATTCACTCAATCATTTGTTTATTTGTTCATTCATTCATTAGATGATTCATTCTATTAATCTGTCCATTCAAAGCAAGATTCATCCCTCCACTTAATTCTTTAACCATTCATCTAATAGTCTGTCCATGCATCCATCAACAATGCATTCGACTGTTCTTTGTTCATACAATCATGTTAAGCAATCTTGATTTTCAGCCTGTTGCTGCTGGTAGTGGAATTCCTGAAATAAAAAGTTATCTAAATGGAGTCAAGGTAAACATGTTTATGACATAACGTTGCATAGACTCCAAAGCATCTATTTCTGGTTTAAATTTGTGAATGTTTCACTTCCCACATCACCTTACAATAAACAGATTATTATAAAATATGATTGTGTTTTGTTTATTTATTGCTCTACTTCAAATCAATCTATAATATCAATATTTAGAAATTTACATTTTTATTTTTTTGATTTTAGGTCCCTCATGTTGTAAGGCTGAAGACTCTTGTTTGTAAAGCTGTTGGTGTTTTATTTAGTGTAGCTGGAGGTATTAAAATCAATAAATATGTCATTATTGGTTATTTATACTTATTGATTAATTATTAGATTCAAAAAAGTAAGGTATTAAATATGGGGAGTCATCACCAAGTTATACGTAGCTATACGTATTACACACATATCCATGGCAACATTTATTATTTAATTAACACACAACACTCCTTGCAGCTAGTTTTTGAATGAGGGAGGAAAATCAGCAAACCTGGAGAAAAGCCATAGGATCAAAGCAAACCAGAAGCTCAATGTCATCCTTGGTCATCCTTGTTCCATGATAATGAAATATTTTATTTTATCTTTTATTATTTTTATTTTGCAATGGTCAATACCTTAGGGTTATTTGTTGGTAAGGAAGGTCCTATGATCCACAGTGGTGCAATAATAGGAGCAGGTGTTCCTCAGGTATCTAAATCTCTTTTAGTATAAACATACTAGTGATCTATCACTCATACTGCGCTGTGATTGGCTACTCTACTAATGGTCTAATTTGTGATAGACCACTCGCGGGAAAATCAAAATAAATAAATTATGAATTATAAATTATTTTNAACACAGCAGTAGCGTGGCACTGCAAAAACCATGATGGTGATTCAAATGCGAGCTGTTGGTCCTTGACCTTCATTAGCTTTGAAGTATTGTACTCCAGCTGGGTGCCTTGTGGTGACTCTTCTTATAATGATGCTATTCAATGGTGGATTTGCATTGATTGCCTCAATTCTGACTGTAATTGAGGTGAGTTTTGTTCCATTATTTGTTCACTTATCCATTCATTTTTCATTCCATCCTTCCATCCATCCATTCCTACATCCATTTGTTCATTTAGATACAGTAATCTATTATATCAATCTATCCAACATTTTTCTTTTAATTCACTCAATCTTTATTTTGTTTATTTGTTCATTCATACAAATAGATCAGATTCATTTGATAATTATCCCATCAATCTCTCCATTCAAAGAAAGATTTATTCCTCCATTTAATTGTTTGACTATTTGTCTAATAGTCTGTCCACCCATCCATACATTTGCCTGTCTTGATTTTCAGCCTGTTGCTGCTGGCAGTGGAATTCCCGAAATAAAAAGTTATCTAAATGGAGTAAAGGTAAACATTTTATGACATAACATTGCATAGACTCCAAAGAATATTTCAGATTATTATATATAATAATATATCATTGTGTTTTGAATTCATTTAATTTCAATATAACTTTTTTTAGGTCCCTCATGTTGTAAGGCTGAAGACTCTTGTTTGTAAAGCTGTTGGTGTTTTATTTAGTGTAGCTGGAGGTATATATTTTCTCAATGAATATATCATAGAATCATTTATTAATAAAGTAATAAAACATTAAGTAAATGAATGCGGGGGAGCTGTCGTCATTGAGTCTCCCAAGGGTTAGCTATTATATTACACACATATCCACAACCTCAACATTTATTATAATTACAGTTATTATTTGGTACACAACACTTCCCGTGCAGCTAGTAGTTTTGAATCAGGGAGGAAAATCAGCATTACCTGGTTATAGGCCAGTATTTGGTCGTCCTTGCTCCATCATGATTTTTTTTATTTTTTTATTTCTTCATTTTATTTATCAGTTCATGTAAATGATTTTTACTATAGGGTTATTTGTTGGTAAGGAAGGCCCCATGATCCACAGTGGTGCAATAATAGGAGCAGGTGTTCCTCAGGTATCTAATATACTGTATCTCTTGTAAAATAAACAGGGAAAGCATGCAATCTTCTTATAGACGTCAATGTTATGGTCTACTGCATGAGGTAGAAGGGTGGCAGCTTCTTGTCATTGCCTTTGAGGGGCAACATCAGTAATTTGGTACCTTTTGGAGTTAATTTGACTAGCAATATTTTAACATTTTTTTTAAATAAAAGTTTGAGATAAATGATTTCAGTTTTTTTTTCTTTTAGTTTCAGAGTCTGGCATTTAGAAAGATCAATTTCAATTTTCCATATTTTAGAACTGATAGGTGAGTACTCATGGATGATTTAGGACCTGTTTTCAAACCAACCCTGCCAGAATGTGAATCAAATTGCTAATACAATTATAATATTGTGAATATTTCAGAGATAAAAGAGATTTTGTATCTAGTGGTGCCGCTGCTGGAGTAGCAGGTTTGTCTAGTATTGAGCTGAAAAAAATTATTATTAAAATATATTAATTTAATGTTGATTTTACATTCTTCAGCTGCTTTTGGTGCACCAATTGGAGGTGTCCTTTTTAGTTTGGAAGAAGGSAGTTCATTTTGGAACCAAGCCCTTACTTGGAGGACTGTAAGTATTATACYAACAAGTGCTACAGACCCTTTGAAGTTCATGGGAATGCAGCTCCAACTGGAGGCAAAGCATTCTAGTTTATTATGTTCAGGCTCTAGATGTCTTGAAGCTGCTTTGACGTCACATGCAAGGGTTCTAAAGACATTTTAGATTAAACTTGTGTAAAAACTGGAAAATGTTTGGCTGACTTAAAACTGCTCAGTGCGCAGACATTTTAACAATTATTATCCTGTCAGCCACCCATCCCTTATGCTGGCCTGTCCCATAAACCCCTCCCCCCAATGCTGGCCACAAAGTTAATAATTTCATATCATGAGACAGCTGTAATGCCACACAGCATGACTTAATCCTTATGGGCTCATTATAAGTTTTTACATTTCTTAATCTCATATTAGTGCTCTTTTATTTAGTTCTTTTGTTCCATGTCTGCAACATTTACTCTAAACTTCCTTCTATCTGGTATCAATAATTATGGATGGGGAACCTTCAACCAGCCTGGTCTTATCAATTTTGGAGTGTTTCAGGTGAGGCATGGAAATCTTAGCAAGAGGAAAATATTAGCTTGCATTCTGTAATTATAAGCATTGTTGTAGCTACTTTGTTGTGTTACTGTGTAGTAGTTTTTTCATTTAAAATATGTATATTGTATAGTCTGACAAGTTGACAATTCAGGGTGRCAAAATTTAACCCTTTGATCAATGTCTGTTTTACTGTTTGACTTAGATGGAAAAGTATCTTGTTTGACTTAGATAGTAATAATTTCAATTAGATGATAATAAAGTCTAGTTTAAAACTGATTGACTAAGATAGCAATAATGCTGTCTGGTTAACAGATTGACTAACATAGCAATTATCCATTTAATAATATTTTTTATTAACTTTTTTATTCATTGAACCACCCATTCTATTTGTTCATTGTCTCTCATTCCCATTTACCTTTCTAGTGCAACAAAGCAGCAGGAAAAAGATGTGATTTATGGAACATTCAAGACTTGTTGATCTTYATTGTAATGGGTTTCTTTGGTGGACTGTTGGGGGCCTGGTTTAACGCTCTCAATAAAGACCTTACAAAGCACAGGATACTTCACGTTCACACAAGAAGCAAAGTCATTAGGTGTGACAGTTATATCATAGTTTTAATCCATTCTTTCAAAGCAAAATTAATGTCCATATTATATCTACCTATAATTTCAATTCCTTGGTAACAAATGTATGTTCAAAAAGAGACATTCCATGTATTTACATTTGATGTAATGGCAATTGAGCTGTGGAGCTTGTAGTGCTAGATGCCTGTAAAAGTAGTATCTGTTGTTTCAAGCTCATCACAGCTATCAGCTCTTTTTTTTTTCTTTTTTTTTGGAAAAGTGTTGAGAAACACAACCATTGAGATGTATTTTGTTGCAAAACTTTCAAAGTTGCTACACTAAGTATATACATGTATAGTGCATTCAAATGTCTCCTGTTAAATACCACTGTGTTTGACAAAGAAACCCTCAAGTTCTYATTGACAAGGACATTTGCTATTGTCATGAGTTTTTGACATCAATGAAGTCATCATGAGAATGTCTCAACTGTGCTCTCAATACTCTTTATGACTGCAGTGTCTTTTTTTTACAGAATTCTGGAAGCCATATTAGTAGCCCTTGCAACAACTGCCATAGCCTTCTTCTGTCCAGTCTATCTTGGGACATGTAAGACATATGCAAGTGGAGCCATAAAAATGAATGATACCAAGAGTTACTTCTGCACTGAGGGACAGTACAACGACATGGCCACTTTGTTTTTTAACTCTCAAGAAGGAGCAGTAAAGCAACTATTTCATTTAGATGGTAAGAATGTAGTCTCTTGTGTGTGATGTTAAAGAATTAGGTTTTGTCCTCCAGTTGGACCTGCATTTCCATGTGCGAGGGGTCTATAGGAAATGCTTGTTTTGCAATTACATTTCCTTAGAGGGCAACCAGGGCCTTAGCTACAAGTTGTATAACCGAGAATTTAAAATTTTCTCGTGGGAGAATGCCCCCCAAAACCCCTAGTTCTTCCCCCTTTGGCGATCCCTTGCCTCAGTTATCCGTTCACTCTGGCTACGACCATGGCAACTACAATTTTTGTTGATATGTGATACTCTCTAGTTGTCTACATTAACTGTGTACAGCTTCTTAATTTATTGAAGCACACTACTTAATATGTGCTGAATATTTGTGATTGATTCTCAGGTGCCTTCAGTTTGCCTTCACTAGCTATTTTCTTTATCTGTTTTTATTTCCTGGCTTGCTGGACATATGGTGCTAGTGTACCAAGTGGTCTGTTTGTGCCTTGTCTGTTGTGTGGTGCATCGTATGGAAGGTTCGTTGGAGAGGTACTTAGAAGGTAAATCAATTAATCAATCAATCAATCAATCAACTAGTCAGTCTCTTAAAGGCCCAGTTTGCACCATTTATGCTTTGCGAGCATCATATTCTGTTATTGTTATGATTTACACCAAAGTACTTCTAGTATCCAAATATCACTATAAAACGAAGTGAGATGGTTGAAAACTCTAACATTATCATTTAAAGTGCATGCTTAGAAAAGTAAGATGGTCAATGATTCGAAATGCACAGTACAATTAAATATAAATAGACTTTCTTCGGTAAACTGGAAATGGCCGCCCGAAGGCCCCAAAGCATAATGGTGCACACTGGGCCTTTAATCAATCAATCAATCAGTCAGTCTCCTAATCAATCAGTCAGTCATTCATTCAATCAATCATCTAATCTTTCAATCAATCCTTAATCTCAATTATTCAATCAATTATCAATTAATCCATCCATCTCATCTTTGTTCCTTTTTTCAGGTTTTTCTACTATGACCATACATACCATGGTACCTATGCCCTGATAGGAGCAGCATCATTCCTAGGGGGGGTAGTGAGAATGACAATCAGTCTTACAGTTATCTTGATTGAATCAACCAATGAAATCAGTTATGGCTTGCCTATCATGATCACTCTGATGGTAATGTTGAAAAAGCTTAAAGTAACAATGCGCTAAAGAACTAGGGAGCTCTCTATTGTTCTGCGGCATAGCAAGTTCCCCATGTACGAATGTCTTGGTTTTCACACTGATTATGAGTTAACCTGTGGGTAACACATTTTTGAAATAAAATGTGGATAAACTCTATTTTGAAACAAAGTTTCTTTTGTATTAAAAGCTCTTATCCAATCATAAGCGCTCAAAACAATAGCCAAAAGATGCTTCTAATTTGC